TGTGATAAGCTATATCTTATCCCTTTTGATGCTCAAGTTCTTTGTGGTTGACAACATACTACTTAATGATTATATGTGTGATTGTAATCATTGTATCAAATAATTTAATAATGTAAGAACCAACCAACGCCCTTTATATAAGTGTTTGGTTCTTGGTAACAAGGGCCAAAACATGCCAGGCATGGTGGTACATGCCTTTAATCCCAGCACTTAGAAAGCAGAGGCAGGCTGATCTCTGTGAGTTCCAAGCAAGCCAGAGCTATATAGTGAGACTTTGCCAGAGAAAAACAAACAAACCATAAAGAACTAGAAGCAAACCAGAACAATTAGGAATTGTAAAATGGAAGCTTTTAATGGACGTATGGGACAGTAATTTATATGTGGATCCTACCACTATTTAGGTATCCAAGGTCATAATCTGACCACTAACATTGTCTATTTCATCAACTTCTAATTCACACACTAACCCCTGTTGATTTTGCTGCCCATGTAAGTTACTAGATCACTTACTTATTTGCATCTTTCCTACTTAGACAGATTTAGTAGTCTTCCAACTTGTCTCTGCCTTCAGCGTTGCTTCCCTGGTCTTTTCCATAAGGCATCGGCCCTAAGTGTATTTGATGAGAAAGTACACATTTGAAATTTTCTAAGACATGAAGGAAGTCATTCAATGCAGAGTGATTATATGTAATTTGTGTGTGAACTGTTTTAAGAAGGATATGAGAAGCAGCAACTTGTTCTGAGACTGGAGGTAGCTTTCTGGTGAAGAAGTGATTAACCAGAGATCGGTGGAAGGCAGGGACTGTCAGATCACGATGGCTTTTGATAAGGTGGTTGAGGAAAGCAGTTCAGTGGCAGAGAAGTGATGTGGGAGTGTCATATATCAATCTGTTGATTTCATTGGTTAAGTTATAATAAACCAGCTGCTTGGCCTCATGGCTGGAACATAGATGGGAGGAGTAAACAGAATAGAATTCTGGGCGGAAGAGGAAGTGAGGTCAGACTCTGCTCTGCTTCC